AGAGAGAGAGAGAGAGAGAGAGAGAGAGAGAAAGATAGAGAGAGAGAGAGCACATCTTGTAATTGATTAAGATAGACACACATAAATCTTGGAGAAGAACATATCGAATTCGTTGTGGGTCTGTACGTACAGCACACAAAGCGGGAAAAAAACGAATGCACCTTAGCATTCGTAGGAGTTACTCATCATTAACCAAGGCAGAGAGAGAGAGAGAGAGAGAGAGAGAGAGAGAGAGAGAGAGAGAGAGAGAGAGAGAGAGAGAGAGAGAGTCAGATCACAAAAAAAAAAACATTCTTTAGTTCCCGTACGGTACAGGGAACCGTCTACTCAGGGACCACACTGCAGAGCTACGTCCAGCTATGCTACGGTACTTGTAAAAGGAACGACGCCTCCATGCATGTGCATCCTAAAATGTGTGACATCTGAAGGCCATGGAAAAGAAGAAGAAAAAAAAAAGAAGGAAAAACAATAAATAAAAAAAACATGAACCCGCAAGACAGAATGATAGCTATGCAATCACGGTACTGCACAGTCGGAAGTTGTGTCAGCCGCTGATCGTGGAGTTCTGGACAGACGGACGTCGTGAACACACACCAAAAAAGCAAGAAGTTGCACGCAAGAACGACAGTTCCTTCTTTTTGGGATTCCCCCCCTATTATGGGCCCCTAATGCAGCGGGCTATCATCCCCTATGACACAAACACTCATATTATCATCGCTGGAGATGCTGATGTGTTCATCTTCTTCTCCACTAGACGTCGAAACATCTCCCTCCAGAAGGACCAGAATGTCATCACACACAATCACCCCCTCACCAACGACCGTGCTCTCGACGCGATCTTTGGTGAGGAAAGCACATGATGCAAGACCCCCCTCCTCTCCACGACCTTCGCGTAGACGAGCCGAAAGGTCGTCAACCTTTTTCTACAGCCTTTCGTCCACGTGACGACTCTCGTAGTAAGCGAGTTTGACGACAACCCTCCGAGTCACGGCTTCGTCTCTCTCGTCTAGCGCAGCCCGAAGACGACGCTCGTAGTCCTTCATCTTCCTTGCCAGGTACTCGAAACATGCTGCGATGTCTTCCCTTACGAAATGCATTCGCCGTTCAACCTTGGTAGCCCACACCCTCGCTTGAGTCGAACCTTGTTTCAAACGGGTGCTCCGCATGACGCCATCATGGTCGTAAGTGACAAGCATGTCATCTCCCCTGTGGATGAGATGCTTGTGAAGAGCATGTAACTCCACGACGCTCTTGTCGACGACGAGCATGATGTCGTCCACGACCATGAACTGCATGTCGTCGAGCCCATCGACCCAGAAAGCCTCTCTCCTTCGGCTGCTCTCGCATTTGTGGCTTCTCTCCCACATCTTTAACAAATCTCTCTCTCTCTCTCTCTCTCTCTCTCTCTCTCTCTCTCTCTCTCTCTCTCTCTCTCTCTCTCTCCACCCTGGATCGGGAAAATTTTGTACAAACGGACGGCAGGGGAAGCAATGGAGGGAAGACCCTACCTACATTGGCCTATTTATGCTGCTTGGATGGGGTGCACTACAGGGAGAAGGTGCCCCCACTGCCCCGCGTGAAGGAGCACAAAGTTCCACAAAGTAAATCACCCCATCCCACCTCCGCCCCAATAGTGACGCACCCGTTCACGGCACCACCCACAAACCACCCCCCTCCCGGAACCCTTCCCCCCCACTCCGGCTAACCCCGCCCACCCTCCCTCCCCCCCACCCCAAGACCACTTACGCAAAAAAGCCCCTCCACCCAACCTCGCCCGCAAACGTGAAGTCCAGCGAAAGTACCTACCACCTCCTGGAATTAACGTGCTGACAGAGAGCATCACGCAGAGCTTCCCCGACTGCGTGCCTTTCAGCACATGTCATGGGGGCCACCGGTGGCGGCGGCGGAGGTGGTTGCGGAGGCAGAGGTGCCCCCCCATCAGCCCATTGACGCATCATCCACTCGATCACCCTAGTCGAGCAAGAGATTGTGAAGGATGCAAGCCGCCCAGAACTGATCAGTAACGGTATCCAAATGGCAGATATGAGGTTTGTGGAACATTTGGAACCGCAACTTCAGATGAGCGTTCCCCCTCTCCGCATCCGTTTGAACAATCTTATGACGGCCATTG